CATTTATAAGATTATTTCTTTGTTGCTTTGTATGTCCCTTCCCCACAGTATAATCCCTGCTTTCACTGTATTTGATGTCGGTATAATTTGTGGAGAAGAAGGGGAAAAACAAGTTGTTTAAGGTTACAGGTGGACCCATTGCAACAATGAGAAGTACAATTTCTCATGTCGAAAATGAACTTTACAACTTGGGGGGGGGCAGATTGCGTGGGCGCTGGGGGGAGGCTGGGAAGGGATGTGAAGGGTAAACAAAGGAGGAGGCTGCAATGCTTGATAAGAAATGTACTCATTATCTCACCCATGTTATTGTAACCACTCTGTACAGTATGTTCACAATAAAAAAAAAGAAAAAAATAAAAGAAAACATCTGTAAATTATTCAGAGAAATCCTTCATGGCAGAGGTAAGCTAGGTGTGATGGGAAACCATTCTTCACTCTTCAGCTCTCTAAGCCAACATTTCTCATCATTTCGTGTTGAGTGGGGATTGTGTCATTCAATATTATCCAAAGCATGTAGAAAAAGCCAGTCTCGACAAGTAATTCAGAGATTGAAGTTATTAACTTGTGTCTTTTATACTAAGGAATAGTTTGTTAGGGTAATTTGATAAACTCTTCTTAGAAAAATGATCTCTGGCCCTTTGGGACTGGATTCAGATCATCTCCAACATGGTTAGGGGAACAATAGATGGGTAAAGACTGTTATGATAAGAGGAAAGAACATGAGAACAACCAGTTTTCTACTGCTCCCTTATGTCTCCCTCTGTATGTGTGATCTATGCCTTATAGTACAAATGACTTACTTATTCCAGTTCATTTTTGAATGGAAGATCTGATGGAAGATATTACTCCTTATTGCTGTACATCCATAGTAGTAAAATCTTTCTCAGAGTGGTAACAATGCTTGATAGGAAATGTATTCATGACTTCCTCATATAATTGTATAATCAATCTATACAGTATCTTTACAATAAAAATTCAAAAATGTGGTGGATAAATAAAGACAAGAGTCTGCATTTTGTCTTGGGGGAGAACCCCAAAATGTCTTCAGTGCTTGCTTTTTTCTTTAATTAATTACTGGTGATGAACAACTTGTGACTGATTCATTCTTAGCCCATTTAGTTGTTCTGCTGAGGGAGCTGTGATAAAACACCAGTATGGATGATGTGATGTGCCTGCATTTTCTCAATGTTCTAGAGGCTGATTACAAATTTTATTGCCCTTACTTTGAACTACAATATGATGTTACATATTTTGTTTGTGCAATGAGTATATATCCATGCCATGAGTATATATCCAAAACCCAGAACACATATATTTCTGAAGTGGGTATCTTTTTTTTTGGCCCAGTTGTGAGGCCTGAACGCTGGGCCTTGGTACTGTCCCTCAACTCTTCAGCTCAAGGCTAGCGCTCTACCACTTCAGCAACAGCGCCACTTCTGGCTTTTTTATTTTTGCTTATGTGGTGCTGAGGAATCGAACCCAGGGTCTCATCCATGCAAGACAAGCACTCTACCACTGAGCCATCTTCCCAGCCCCGAACACATATATTTCTTTGATATGAGAAGAAGGCTTTCATTTGCTATCTCATAAAGGACTAAAAATAGATAAGACATTAGGCGAAATAAGACATTTTGCAATCACTCACAAAAATTTAAGTTAACAAAAAATAAAACTATCTGCCACTTGAGCTATAGCATTACTTCTATGCCGAGAGGAAGGAAGGAAGGAAGAAGGGAAGTGAGAGAGGGAAAGAGGAAGAGAAGGAAGGAAGAAGAAGGAAGAAACAACTATTCAAAAGAAGAATCTTTAATATTTGGTGAATGTGAGAATTATCCTTTCAGAGGTAGGGCTCAAGAAAAATGGCTTTTACATAAAGCAAATTATTGAACTGTTTAGAAAATGATACAGATGCAGTAACATTTTATAAATTGATTTATTAATTCAGTAATATTAAGTAACGTGGTCAGGTGTGGCTGGTGCCGTATTGGCCACATGATGGACGGTGGGGTCTGGCGTCTTGTTTTCATGCAGGTGTAAGGAAAAGCCCCATCCATCACTTGCCTCCCCACTGATGGGTGTGGCTGGATCCCTGCAAGCAGGCATGAGCATTTGGCTGATATGTTACTCAATCGGTTAGTCCAGTAGCTGGAGTTCAAGCTCCAATAGTAGCACAAGAAAACCATGAGGTATGTGTATTACATGTGTTTCTAAGTTAGAAACCTAATTGTAGTGATACTAGCAAGTCTTCTTCTCAGATATAAAGGGAAAAGAAGATGAGTAGAGGAGGGAGAGAAGGGAAACAAAAGGTCAGGAATAAGAAGGAAGAAGAGAAGACAAGAGAGTAGTGGAGAGGAAGGGAAAAGAGGGAAAAGAAAATTAGGAGAAGGAGAGAGGAGGGGAGGAAAGCTTCATGGCATCAGATTTGACAGTAACTGGTCTGGGAAGATTGCTCAGTGGTAGAGTACTTGCTTTGCATGCATGAGACCCTGGGTTCGATTCCTCTGCACCACATAAGCAAAAAGATGGAAGTGTTCCTTTGGTTCTATTTGTAATGTACTCACTTTGAACTGAAGTGCTGAGCAACAGCGCCCAGGCCTACAGTTCAGGACCCACGGGTGAGCAAAAAAAGAAAAAAAGAAAAAAAATGAAAGAAAGATTTGACTGTACCCCCAGAAATACAACTCCAAAAGTACCTCCTGGAAAAAAAAAAAGAAACAAACAAACAAACAATGTGAGTCTCTGGTGAATCACACCTGTAATCTTAGGTACTAAAGAGGGTAGATCTGAAGATCGGGTCTCAAAGTCAGCCTGGGCAGGTATAGCTGTGAAACTCTTACTTTCAGGAAATCACCAGAAAACCGGAAGTGGTGCTGTGACCAAAGTGGTAGAGTGCTAGTCTTGAACTTAAGATCTGAGGGACAGTGTTCAGACCCAGAGTTCAAGCCCCATAGCCTACAATGAGTAAATAAATAAATAAATACATACCTTCTCTCATTGTCTATTTCTCTCTCTGTCTCTTTTTCTCTTTCATTCTCTCTGCTTCTCTTTCCTCCATTTTTCTCTTAATTTTACTTTTCTTCAAATGGTTTATCTGGGAAGTAGATTTTCTTACTGATAAGTTTTCTTTTGGTAACATGGCTCTTAAAATTGACATTTTTCTCACTCATTATACAGGAAAATTGTGCTAAACATAAAATAATTTGAGTTTCCCAGATTCTATTATCTTTCTCTGGTTTAACCTCATTTGATATGGTTCCTGCAGTTTTCCTTTTTCTTCTTGTTCTGCTTGCATATTTGCATTCACTGACATTATAAGATAGAAGCTGGTTGTGAAAATAAACAATACAGTGACTATGGTTTTCATATTTGAAATATCACTAATGGCAAAATCTCACATACATTTGCTAAGTAGTAAACTTTAATCTTTGGAACATCAATACTAAATAGTATGTGTGGCAATGTATCCTTTGGAATCTAGTGGAAGAAATGGTTCAGGAATATGTGACACATTTGAGAAATAGTGAGTGAAAACATCTGCAAAACCTACACAGATTATAATAATTTGTATTTTTGTCCATGTGTGTTTGTTATTAATGCTATTTGTAGTGTGTATTTCCAACTAAACACTGTTTTAGCACGTGTTCAAACACTTTCAGTTTGTTATTTTAGTAGGTAAAATAGATATGTTTGTCACCCATATGTCTTCATAGA